TTTATTGTCTTTTATGGCAGTAGCAGGATTAAGTTCTTATTGGGCTTTGGCCCTTCTGCTTTTCTTCCTGCATAACCTCACAGCATCCTTGTAGTCATTCTGAGTCACCTGCCCCTTCTTCCAAAGGTCATAAAATCTAGTGTCTTGAGAGACTGGAATGTTGTTTCACCAGCATTATGGTGTGCATTACAGTTTCTACACCTGAAATAGTCTGGGTAATATTTCCTGTTTTCAGATGAATCACATAACAAACTACTAATTCATAGTCTCTTCCATGGAGGATTTTCTTTTTGTGTGTGTGAAGAAACAACAAAAAGAGCAGTTTTAAAGTGGAGGTTGCTGTAAAGAGATTTTTTTTTTTTTTTCCTCCTGCAATCCTTCCTTTAGTAGTCTGTTACATTTGAAAATTATGGTTATGAACAAAAAAGAGAACTAATTAATTTGCAGGGTCATTTGTGTATTCATGGTATACTGTGAGATTGCAATCATGGGCAAGCTGTTAAGACATGAACCAAAAAGTAATTGAAGTTAGTATATAATTGTAATAGAGTTCTTCTTTTGTGCCATAAAGCAAAAAGTCCATCTTCTAATATAATGAGCTGGTAATTAAGTTTATATTTCAGACTACATAAAAAGGAGAATGGAGGGAAAAAAACAGTCTTGTTCATGAATTATTAATTTGACTGGAATAAAATAGCTTGTATTTAAACAACAGTTGTCACATTAAAACCAAAACTCAATACTAGGATTGAAAATGCCTAGAGAATTTTAGGAAGAGTAATCCAGTGAGGTTTGGAGGACAAGACCTGAGACTGCTCTAAAGAGCTGGGATGTATGTTCTGCATTTGCTGGCTGCTTGGGTAACAGCCTTCCATGGCTTGGAAGTCCTGGTGCCCTTTCCCACTGTAAGGTGCAATCCTGTAATGTTGCTCTCACCTGTAGCATTTAAGTTTTATAAGGTTGGCCAAGCAGAAGAAAGAACACAAGGTAAGGGGAGCTTCAAAATTGACTCACTGAGGTTGTGTAAGACTTTGTGTTCACACGTTGAGCAGGATGAAATGCATTGATGGGTGCAGGCAGTAACGGGGGTGCTGCAAAGCCTGCTGTGTTGACACGCGCCAGCTGCGTGGGCAGGTTCTTGCTCCAGCCCCTGCACGGGATTGCATCTGACAGTTCCATGTCTGGCTAGGGTGATGTGCTCAGAGGCTGTGGATTGCACAGAAGTGGCAGAGTCCTTTGAAGCCCAGAGGCATGACAGGACATACTGCCCGACTCAGTCTGGCTACGCAGGGGAAGCAGTGAGGTCAGCGAAACAAAATGAAGGCCTAGGAGGGTGTGACATTGAGACCTGGGTTAGATGACCTTTGCCTCTAATCATAAATGCTAATTACCCTCAAGGAGATGCTTGCAAGTGAAAGACCTGGGTGTCTAAGCTGTGTTGCACAGCTAGTTTTTTTTTCCATTGGGCCCAGAAAATATTTCTAGAATTAAATGTAAAGATAAAATTTAGCCAAAAGAAATAGGAGAGCTTTCTTTACAGGAAGCACTTCTGACCTGCTGCTCTCAAACTGTTTTAATGCAGAAAGGTGAGGAGGCTTCCCTTGTTTCGTGAGTATATTCTTGAAGCTAGTACAATGTGGTTTTTTTTTCCCTTCATGTACAATGGTTTGTAGATTTTTTTTAAAGTTTTAGATGGAGCTTAGTTTTTCGTTGGATTTGCTTTGAAGCTGTTTTCTGAGTGGAATTTTACTTCAGAATAATGTCTTCCCTTAATTCAGGCTGAAGTGCTCCTTACTGCCTGTAAGAAACAACTGCAGCATGTTTACAGAGTTTTTTACTTCTCTTATTTTAGGTGTTAAGCATCCAAGTGAAGTGTTATCATGAAATCATTACTATTGGTTACAGAGTCTACCACTCGTATGATTTACCGTGGTTTAGATCTCTCAGCTGGTGAGTAGCAAGCTAAAATATCAGTAAGCCAGGATGTAAAATTGAAATCATCTTGCTCTCCTGTTGTGGTGGAATGACAGCTTTGTGGGTCATGTGCAGACATAAAACCTGACATCAGTCTCTAATATAGAATTTTCTAGTTGTGTTCCCCCTGTGAGCTTGGACAAATAAGTTGGCCTTTTATTACTTATTATTTTTATTTGTTATAAATAAATCAGTGTTTGTTTTGTTTTTAAGAATTGCATTTAATATATATTGTTTTAATAAAATAACTGTTATCTGTTGCATATTGCAGGTACTTTTTGCTGTGTGTGAACTACTTCTTTTATGGAGAGACTGTAGCCGATTACTTTGCTACATTTGTGCAAAGAAGAGAACAGCTGCAATTCCTCATTCGTTACCACAGGTTTATATCTTTTGCACTCTATTTAACAGGTAAGTGAAGGAAATCACAAAAATGAAAGAACTTGGTGCTGCTTTTTCTTATTTAATTAAAAATATATTTAACTGCTCCCCATCTTTATGCACTTCCAGTTTCTTTTTCCTCTTAATGCTTGAGGAAATTAGGTGTTTGCAGTTACATTTTTCCTGTGAAAAGATGAGTACAAATTTTGCATTCACTGAGAAGAAGAAAGCATCCTAAATAAGGAGATGATCTTGAGAGAGTTGAGATAATAGTGCTCAAAAGAGGTTGGCAAGCATTAATTTTGATTGCTGAAGACCTGGTGCTATTTTGGCAGTCTGTAGAGATAACTTCTGTGTGTAATTGCTGTGCTGGGTTGATTCTTCACAGTGCAAATGTTTTCCTAGGTCTCCAGTAATAGGTTTTACTAACATATATTTTTAACTGATTAGTCAAAATGCCTGAGTCTTAATTTTGTCTGCAAGATATTCAGATACTTACCTCATGGAAAAATTTCTTCCATGTCCAAAGAAAAAAATTTTAAAAGCCTTTTTTCTAGGAAGAAGAGACACAAGTTGGCATTCTTGTGCGGTATAGCTTTGTGAACACGTAAATACGTTTTTTCAGCAATGCAGTTTAGCATAAAATTAAATCAGCTGAAGACTCAGATTGGATTAAGGGACAGGAGCCTGCTATGCTGCAAATACTTCTGAAGTGTACTAAGAAATCTGATCTTTGTGATGATCTGACAATTTTTCTATTTTTTTTGTTTGTTTGTTTTTTTCTTAAATAAAAATTCTGCTCAGTGCTTAAATCACAAACTTGAAACCAGTTTTGCAGAACTTGACCTTTTGCACCTGGCTTTGGCTTGGGGAAACTAATTTAAAATAGCCTTGTGAGCCTCACAAGGCTAAAACAGCCTTGTGAGCTGGTGAGGGGAGACGTGACACAAGCCAAGCATGAGCAAAAGAAGGAGGCAGAGCATAGCAGAGCCCCTGGGCATTGGGGTTGTGGGGTCACTTAGGGGCTATCCCCCAGGTTCTGGGTCTTTTGAGGCCCTCTGGCCCCTTGTTGGTGCAGGAAGTTGCCATAGGAGAGAAGAGGTGCTCAATTAGCCACCCAGAAAATTCTTTTTGGTCAGCTGACCAAACACCTGTGCCTCACACTTGCATTGCATGCAGCCATATGCCTGTCTGGGGGAAAGGGGAAAGCTGGTCTTTTCCTTTCATTTATTTCCGTTAATTATTCAAAACTAATTTGTTGACTTGGCTTTTGAGTGGTTTTTAAAAGTGATGATTTCATTTGTTAAAAATTGATGTCCAAAATGGGACCTTGTATGTGCCTAGATGGATGTTCCTTACTATTGGTTTACTGGTGATATTCTTTACTGATGTTAGCTAAACCTGTCTTAACTAAGTCATAATCTCGTATGAGAATAACTCTATATGTACTTTTAACTGAATATAGGCCAACACTTGTAGCAGCAGAGAGATTAAAAACTGCTTCAAAGGAAGATAATTACTGGTATATCACAGTTCAGTGTCATTTAATGTGAGATGGTACAAACCACACTTTCTTTATTTTACAGGATTCTGCATGTTTGTTTTGAGTTTAGTGAAGAAACATTATCGTCTGCAGTTTTACATGGTGTGTATTACCCACTTTGCTGTGGTCATTCATATCATGAATGTCACTAGAAACAGTCATACCCATATGCTCATAAAATAGTTCAGAAGAGGGGTGTGGAAAATGTGCTTAAATTGAGAGTAACACAAAATCAAGTCGTGCTGGACTGTATCTGTTCACCTTCTGGATGACGATGGTGATAGTTATTATTATTATTATTACTATTACTATATCCCAGGATGTGGCCTCTCAGTGAGTACAAGCTGTCCTTGGTGAGGCCTTGTGCATGTCCAACATGATATGTTTCCCTTAGTGATAGGCTGATATGAAAGAGGTTGCTGGAGAAGGGGCATGCAACCCCCTGCCAGGTCTGAAGCCAAACAGTTCAGCATTGTGTGGAAAGTGGTTCTTGTGACTCAAGTGTTGCGTTCTAGAGGCTCCACTGAAGTACCATGAGGGGAACTTGATCTTAACCCCTGCGTGGAATATTTATTCTGTGACACTTCACAGCTGTTCTGGTCTTCTGCTCTGCAGTGTCTCAATAGACCATTGATGTATTAAAAGAAAACAGAATTCTCATCTCTCATAGCCACCTAATAATCAGCATAGTAGCTAAGCAACAGCTTGAACTTTTTTTTATGTGCATCATATACTTTGAAAACTAATTCTGTAATATTACAGGTTAAAACCAAAGCAAATAAAACACCCAAAACACCCCACTGACAATACCCCACTTCTATATAAGAGCGATTAGAAATCACAAGGAAACAGCAGTGCAGTACAGCTCCTGTCTTGAAAGAACTTGAGTAATCAGGCATTGCACAGTTTAAAGATTTCCTAAAGCTTTGGGAATGTGGTTAACCCTGCTGTTCCTGCACTGCTTTAGGTAGCCTGTGCCTCAGACTCTAACATTTACCACTGAGGATCCCCAATTCTAGACTAGGACTTAATTAAGCCTTATAATAACATGTAAAAAAATCTTTTACTCAAAATAATGTACCCTGTTTGTAGGAAAGCTTACCTGACAGTGAGATGCAGCTCTTCTAGGAGGTATAGTCTTTATCTTCTAATCTGCAAAAAAAAACCCCTTCTCATCTTCAGATTGGGACAATCTAAATATATTAACTTGCCATGATTTTTTTCCTTTTTCCCTTTCTGGAAAGAAAGTGAAATTGTGTAGTGTCAGTCACGTGACTTGGTGTCTGCCCAGAAAACATTAAAATGTGACTAGCCAGGAATTGCAACAAAACAGAGCAAAGCCACGTATACTGTGTGGTCACACAGTGCTTAGGAAGAAAAGGAGAGAATATCCCATCCCTGGAAGTGTCCAAAGCCAGGCTGGATGGGGCCCTGAGCAGCCTGGTCTAGTGAAAGGTGTCCCTGCCTGTGGTGAGGGAGCTGGACCTGTGTGATCTTTAAGGTCCTTTCCAACCAAACTGTTCCATGATTCTAGTAGAGTAGGTGGTGTTCCAATGTCACTGGACAAATACTAAACACTTTGCTGCAGAGCTGCGTTAATTAACCAGCAGGTATAGTTTTCAGAAACCTTTTGTCATTTCTTGTGCCCTCCCTCCCCCACTCTAAGGCTTCTTGAGTAGTCTTATATGGAAGTAGAGTCTGGCTGCCATAGGTAAACACATGTGATTAGAGAATTAAAGAAGTAGGACATTTTGAGTATAAATAGCCCGGACACTTAGAGTGCTTAACTTTGGTGTATCATGTGAAAATTACCAGTTCTTGATTTAGAAGTGCCTGGAAAACAAAATCTATTGCAGAATCTTTACTCATAACCTACTTGGAAACCACTTTATTGTACACTGGCTCTACAGATTGAACACCAAGTGCAAACAGTAGTACTGGACTAAATCACCATGCCCTTAAAAACTAGCACTTTATTTTTGCGTATCCTGGGAATTTTCATGTTTCATAAGAGTATTCTGAGAAAGATCCACATCTGTGTAACATGACTCTTTCATGAGTAGTTCATTGCCATTTTATTGTTACAGTTCTAACATGTCAGTTATATGTATATACAGAATATCACATTGCTTAAACTTCTTTGCTGCTTTCATGATGGAGGTGTATGTCTTACTAAATCAGATGTTAAAACTGCAGGTTAAAAAATTCTGGGTGAAGGTAAGTGATGAAGAGACCTGCTGAAGTTTCAGAACTTGCTTCAGAAAGCCAGCTCACTTGTGATATACTGTATGCACACATCTCTTGCATTATCACTAGAACTGGTCTTCTTGGGGAGCTCCTCAGATGTGCCAGGATTTATGGAGGTGTACGGGTCGGTGTTTTCACTAACTGTTGTGTTGTTGCATTGTTAACAGTTCGCATGGACTCATGTCACTTTGCTGATCACTGTAACTCAATCTCATCTTGTCATCCAAAATCTCTTTGAAGGCATGATCTGGTAAGGGGACAGTAATAAACTGATTTGTACCTCTATCGCACTGAAAGGTTGGTTCATTTGCATAGATCTGGTTAGGGAATAATTGTGGGAATAGTTAAAACAGCACACATTATAGGAGCATTAATGTCTAATAGAAAGGAGATCAGAGGATTTGGGAGTGATGAGGTAAAGCATGCAAGAGAGGAAGCAGAAACCTCTTTATCTAGACTGACAGACACAAGTCTGATAGTTTTGAACAACCACTTCATTTGCTTACAGAGGGAATAGGATCGATTGCATGCTAGGTCAAATAGTTTCCACATCATTTTGCTGAATAGATGAATATCCAGCAATTCTTTTGCAATTGCTTGGGAGCTTTGGGTTGCTCAGAGCTATTGAAGTTAGACCATTTAATTTGAAATCCCCAATCTGGCCACGTTCCCTGCAGCCTGTCCTGTCCAAATAAATTCAGAATACTTAAAATATTTTAAGAGTTTTAATCTTGGTTGAGGTTGGGCAATCTTTGTGTCCCATTTTCAGTGATACATTAAATTTTGGCAATGCAGTTAAACTTGATTATGTAAAGCCACTCCTCAGAGAGAGGGTGTGTTTTCCAACCCCTCTACTTCTTCAGGGACAGAATAAATTTCAAGTTGAAAAAGAAGGAAGAAGCACATGGAAGATGTTTTGTGTTCTTCCAAGGACATAATGCTGTATGTTCTCCTCTTCCTGATATATGTGCATCTGGGGAGATTATTGCAGACAAGGCATACTCAGAGTTAGAAAGCCCAAGGTCTTTGACAAAGTTTCTATATACAAATTCTTTTCGTAGTGATTATGTTTATTTATCAAAAACTGAACCTAGTTGCTTTGCTAGCCTACTATTTCTTATTTCTGCTCTTGCTAGACAATTTGGCAGATGATCAAAAAATCTGACTTTTAGTCTTATTTAGACTTATTAATACATCCCTGCTTTGAAAAGGAGGAAAAAAAGAGAGCTTAATAGACTTGAATAACAACTTCAGATGCACTCTGCATTCAAAGAACACTTAAAAAGCCTCTCCAAACTGAAAAGAGGGGGGAAAAGGTTTAAGGAAAACAATTTATTTTTTTTTTAATTTAGCTTTCATTTAAATTTTTGGAGTAATTTGCTTGTTTTTATGTTACCAAGAACATTAACATGTTTATGTATCTTGATTTCTTCTTACCTATGGTCTTTAAACTTGATAGGAAAAAGCCAGCCTGTTCATGTTTTAAGCTCATGCACCAAAATAACACTTTAACTTGAACTAACATGAATCTGTTATGATCTAGTTTGGCTGAAGACTAAAACCAGTATAGCTAAGTGTGGTGCTCATGGGGGAACAAGGCAAACACATTTTGAAACATAATTCCTTCTAAATACTGCAGAAAAAGTTCCCAGAAAGAAATTCTACCCTTTCAATTTTTGTCCTATGTTTAGGTTCAGGCAGTTTTTCTTTGTGACATTCTTCTAATGTCTTTCTCTAGGTTTCTGGTTCCAATTTCAAGTGTTATCTGCAATGACATTACTGCTTATATTTTTGGATTCTTCTTTGGCAGAACTCCATTAATTAAGGTAGGTGCTTAGGCACTTCCTCGCTAACAAGCTTTTACAATTTATAGCAATTTTGTTACTTGTTCAAAAACATGTTAATGGAAAAAAATACTTTGCACTGCATGATTCACATCTTTGCTAAAGAAGCTGAAACTGACTATCCTGTTCCTGAAAGTTTGTATATGGGAAAGTGGGATTAATGTGAATGTGATATTGGCATTACAGGATAATGCAGTTTGAGCCTATAGCATCATCATTTATAATTGCATTGTTTTTGGATTTCAGATGCAGGTTTGGCTGCATACTTACTGCACAGAAACTGTAATTTGAAATAAGACACTAGGTTATATATACCTGCTTCTCTTGTTGACCGAGAAGGGCTCAAGCATTAATCTTCCTATTCTGGTAGAATATGCAAGACCCCAGAGAAAGCCATGAATTCTTTTCATGATGTAGCCATGTTAACTTTTGGGGATTTTGTTGGTTCTGATACTAAAATGCTCTTAAATTGAAAATGTGATAGAATTTGGTGATAACTTGGCACACTGGTCTCTCTGGTTATTTGCTGTATTAGTTACCCAGTCTGTCTGCAGAAAGCTGGTATCTCCTGAGAAGCATTCTGAGAAGTTGTGTCACACCCAGGTTCCTGGCACTATCTAAATGGGCACTTGCTTGCAGAGCTCTCCAACTGAGCTGAGGTGTGCTTGTGCAGGTCTCCCAGCCTTCTGCTTGAAGTGACTTCAGCTGCTTAATCTGGGTCAGATGCAGCCAGAGGCCAGCAGCAGCAGAGGGGATGGAAGCTCTCCCTTCCCTCAAACTGGCCAGTGGCACCAACCAAAGTGTGGCTTTCCCCTACCTTGCCTGGGATGGGTCATGACCATACTCTTCTATTTATCACATTCAGTGGCTGCAGCTGCTGAAATTCAGTATTTCACACAAACCTTTAAAAAACAAAGTAGGAGCTTAATTTTCACAAACAAGATCAAGAAATAGAGTAAAAAAGGGTGCAGTGATTTTACCGATGGACTAACACTATCTCTTTTGTGCCTAGCTCTCTCCCAAGAAGACCTGGGAAGGGTTCATTGGAGGTTTCTTTTCCACTGTTGTATTTGGATTTATTGTAAGTAACCGCAGGACATCCCTAGAACCAAAGAATGGTTGTGTTTGGAAGGACAACCTTTAAGACCATCTCATTACAAACCCCCTGCCATAGACAAGAACTCCTTCCACTACCCTAGATTGTTCAGAGCCCATCTGACTAACCTGAACATTTCAAGGCATGGGAATTTCCTTGTATAGATTCAGTCTTTGTACTTTGATGTGAAAGAACCAAATTCATCACTAAATTTACCTTAGATTCCTGAAAGCCTCACAGTTAGGGTGGTTTTTTGCCTACAGAATTCTGCCAATTCATAACTGGCTGGAAAGGATAGGCAAGGTTAACCCTCTCCTGAACAGATTATATTGACCTCTTTTTGCTGTTTCTGTTACAGTATCTGGAATAGTTTTATCTATTACTTGCATCCCTATTTTGGAATTGAATTTTATCAATAGCATTATTTATGCTTTGTGAAGTAGTCCTTCTGTGTTACATGCTTTATAATGACATTTCTCCTGGAATCTAATGACAAGCACAGGTGATAATACCAGGATAAGTAATTTGTCACCAAGGTCAGTAAAACTCATAATAGCCAAGCTTAGTAGAAGAGATATTCAAGTTTTAATGGACAGTTGAACTACAAAAAATTATGAGTGGATTACACTTTTGGATTTTCTAATGCAGAAGATACAGTAGATACAAATCTGAGAGATGGAAAGCAATTTGGGAAATCATCACTAAACTCATTGAACATCTGCCTTGTTGAGGCATTCTCTAGTTTAAGCAAGCTGATGTTTTTCCATTCTGTGTCCCTTATTAGAAAGATTTTTATTACCCTGAGCTAGTGGTGATAAAGCCATTCATTAAAGCATGATTTTTGAGTGTAATAACAAATGTCTAGTTCAAGAGTTCTTGTTTTGCTTTTCAGTTTTCCTATTTTTTGGCTCAACATCAGTACTTTGTCTGCCCTGTGGAATACAACAGTGAAACCAACAGATTTGTGACAGAGTGTGAACCTTCAGAGCTCTTCCAAATGAAGAAATACTCTGTGCCACCATTGCTTCAGGCTGTATTGGGATGGGTAAGGAAAAAAAACCCAGGCTTTGGTTAAAATTGAAATCATGCCTCCCAGCTTAAAAGGGTTCCCAAACTATTTTAGAAGGGTATGCTGGTAAAGCTTAGGGTTAAGAACTGATTCAATACCATAAGGCTCTCTGTTGCTCATATGAGGGACGTGGTCACACACTCAGAATCACTGCTGGAGTCACCCGAGGGAACGTGGCTTGCAGCCTGCGTTCTCTTTGTGATCCACACAGATGCCACTTAAGCATTTTGCAGACTTATTTTTGAGGAGCAACCTTTGAAATTTTTGTGGGAAGTGGACAAAGGTTTGTTATGGCCTGAATTAGTGGCAAGCTGATGTAAAAACTGTAGAAGCTGTAGAACTTAATTCTCTTTTCAGCTACTGTGTAACTGCTGTTAGGATTGGTGTTTTATTCTCTTCACCACACAGCACCCTGTGTATTAGTGCCATTACTTCCATGCTGAGTGAAGAAATACTACCAGCAATAGTTACATGTAATGTACTCTCTAACCCTTTAAATATGTAAGCTAAAAATGCCTACAATTGAACATATTGAAACACAGTGTTAATTATTTTTCGTGTAGGAAACAGTGAATATGTACCCATTTCAGATGCACAGCTTTGCGCTGTCAACATTTGCCTCATTAATTGGGCCATTTGGGGGATTCTTTGCCAGTGGATTTAAAAGAGCTTTCAAAATCAAGGTATGTAATGAATCCTGTAAGCCTCTAAATTTTGTTTTGGTTTTCTCTTTGGATTAGATAAATTGGTGGATTAGGGGTTTTTGAAATCCTTCATTGTAGTTGTGTTTCTACTAAGTTGCAACAATGTTTTGGCTGTATTTTAGTATCAGAGGCAGGACTTAGTTTTATCAGATCTGTGTGGGTGATATTCTTCAAACTTTGCATAGTCAGCATGTGACTTCAATGCTGGAAATCTGAAGAATAATTTGGTTACATCGTTTGGTCAATAATTACTCTTCCAAATCATGTTGCAGAAGTGGTTTTGACAAGCAAGATGTGAGATATTATACCTGACATGAAAGGCAATCTGTAGATGCTTCAGAAGTGCTGACAGTGGCTTACCCTTCAGATTTTGGCTGGCTGGTTTTTACCAGTGGTACTGGGGTCACAGGAGGATGCTGGTGTGTCAGGCTCACCAAAGCAGGAGATGTTTGGCTGTCTTTGCCAATACACTGCTGCCTTGTGCGCATTGGCAAATTATGTGACCTGCTACCCCCTGATTATTGCAAGGTGTGCACTGTCGCTGGTGGCAATGCTGTCCTTGGCTGGTATGAAATGGCAGCAGGAGTATGGCAAGAGGGCAGCCCCAAATTTCTCCTGACCTCCTTTATGTCTTGGTAGGACTGCTGTAATTCTTATCCTTTTGTTACCTGGCATGTGCATTGTACAGAAGTGTGTAAACCTCTCTGTTTGTGCTGAACTCCTGTGTATGTGCTTGTATTTACCCCTCTTTCTCATGCTGGTCCCAGCAGCTTGACCAGCACTTTGCTGGCCACATCACTCTCGTACCTGTAGGGCCACACAGCAAGACTGTTTGTGTGAAGAAGGAGTTTGGGATGAAAAAAAATGCTGCTGAAAAGCAGCACTCATTCTTAAAGTAGAACATAAAAAAATTAGATTCTTTTTAAAACTTCTGGGCCCCAAAGTGATTGGGACTTAAGGACTGTTGGGAAGTCTGAGATATTGTGGAATTGCTGCTGAAGTCAGTGCACTCCATGCCTGCCCTGCACTGGGCAGGATGAGTTTAACTTGCTGGCCGTCACCCCATGTGACTGACTAAGGTCAGGGTTTTCCCTCAGAGAGGACACAAGTGAGTGTGGCTGACAGCAAGGATGTCTGAAGGTATTTTGATTGATAAAGCTGCTATACAGACAAGATAGGTAACATAAAGATAGTGTATGGAGCTTTGTTTGTGTCAGAAATATATTTTTTAAGAAGCGATCATTTTTTCACAGTGTTTTTTGATTCTGTTAGATAAATTTATATTGTTTGCACATTTTATGGTCCCTGGTAGAGAGTAAAGCAAAAAGGTATTACAGAGGAGAATTAGGTTCTGCAGAGGCAAGGAACAACAGCCAGCAGCTTAAGAGATCTGCCATAAAATGAAGTGTATATAGGCACACAAGTGTTCTCAGTACTGGCATACCTGCACCTGACTTACTGCTGTCTTCTTGTGCGATACTGTGGACAAATTGCTGCTTCTCTTCTTTCTCATCTCACCCTTTGGCTCACCTTTGCAGTTAAAAACTCCTTCAGCAAAGGAGCCTCTTGCTAACTTTTGGCTCCATGAAGTGAAACCATGGCTTTCTTGCAGCCCTAATGTGCTGCTGCCGAGTGATAACATCCTGTTTCCTGGGAACCACTGACCATCTTTGTTTTGGTTTTTTTTCTTCTTTCCCCTTCTTGTCCTTCACACCCAAAAGGATTTTGCAGACACAATCCCTGGGCATGGTGGGATAATGGATCGCTTTGATTGTCAGTACTTGATGGCCACCTTTGTTCATGTCTATATCACCAGTTTCATAAGGTATGGACTTTTTACAGTATTAACTACTGAGGCATGCACAGGACCTGCCATGAAGAATACAGAGGAGTTATGTTAGCATAGCAGAGATTGCAGGATGCTAAATAGGATTTATCCAATCACTTCAAATACAGGACTATTAAGAAAACAATGTCTCTGCCTAGGATTTCTGTTGGGTTCAATGTTTCTGTGACTGCTGTTGAAGGTAACAGAATGTTGAAGGTACATTTCTGTGTACCTGAAATACCAGAAAGTTTTGTGTAGCAACCTATTAGAAGTTTTACTACAATTTACTGGTTACAGAAAGGTGTAGTATGGGGTTTCAGGCAGGAGGGTTGTTCAGCATCTGCTTTCCCTGTGTGGTTCCTGAAGAGCCTATAGGTTGTGAGACTGCAGTTCTTCCCATAAATTTCAATATTTCTCAGTTGCTTGGCTTGGGATTTTCTGTTTAAGATGAAAATGCTATAGCTAAAGAAAGGAGACAACTCCCTAAAATAATGCTCATCTTTCCTGAACCACACCAGCTTTCAAGAAGAAATCATGGGAATCGCAATTCTCTTACAACAGACATTTTAGCTTCTGAGGCTGGGGTGGTTCAAGGAACTGAATCAAGACATGCCCTTAGTTTTGTAAATGCATATGGCTGAATAATTATTAGATACCTAATTAGAAAGAGATTCTTTGCCTTATATTTGGTTCATTTTGGAAGTAGATTGTAAGTAAGTGGCTAGCTAAAAATGAGGCTGATATTTAGAAAACCTTGTTTTAATTTGCAGTTTACTGACTTGGCCAATTTCCCTTTTAGTTCAGTAGTACATAGCTTATCTGGCAGGGAACAGATACAAAATGAAGATCTGCTAATAAAAACAGTAATTGCAGTGATAAAGGATGAATCAAAGAATCTTACTTGTCATAAGCCTTTTTAATATCCCCATTTGACAGAAAATAGAAATGCATTTTAGTTTCTGTTTATATTGAGCTAAGAGTATGCTTTCCTAGTAATGCTGGCCTGTGCATTGTGAGGATACAGACTGGGAGAAATCCATCATTTGGCACCATCAAGAAAGGGAAGGCATTGTTTGGGAAGAAAGAAGAAATCTAAAAGACTCTTTAGAGCTGTGGTCACTAAAAGAATTTATTTTTTTCATTAACAGGGGTCCAAATCCCAGCAAATTACTAAAACAGCTGTTGATACTTCAGCCTGAACAACAATTAAGTGTATATAAAACCCTGAAATCTCACCTCGTTGAAAAAGGGATCTTGCAGCCATCTCTAAGAGGGTAGTTTGTCAAAACAGAGGACTAGAAGAAAACTCCATCTACAAGAAACCTGTGGAAAAATGTTGCAGAAGTGCACATAAATAATGGCTAAAGGGAGAGTAGTCTGTGTTCTGAAAAAGGTGAATGTTTCCTGAAATTAATGTGAATGCTAAGACTTCCTACTGGGACAGTAAAAATCTCTTACTCCTAGAATAATTCAAATGCTTACAAAGTAATGGTACACAGGCTGTGTATTTACAGCCTGTAAGGTGGATGTCAGCAGTCTTTGTTCAGCACCCAGCCTGACACTATTTAAGAAAAAAATAATGAAATTCACTGTAAGTTTTTAATGAATTATTTAAAGCTGTATATCTTAGAATACCTTTTTGATCTCAAATAGTTACCGAAGTGTAAACACATCAGGGAGGCAGTAATTTCTATATAGGCTGATACTGAAATTACTATTGACCAGAAAACACTTGTTAGCCTGATCAAGGAAGTGCTTAGAGCCTGCTGTATCAGACTACTTGTATTTACTTAATTGTTATGAAGACTAAACCTAGCTGTGTTTTTAATTTAACAGCTTTCTTATGAAGCCATTTCATGCTTTCAAGAGAAAAGTACATTTATGGAAATAAGATGGGCATTGAAATACAGTTGGGCAGTTCAGGCTGTGCGGCTGCTTTTTTGTTGTTGTTGTTGTTAACCTTATAGATAATAAACAAGTGTGTACCTCCAGGAGTAGAGATTACCTGAGAAAACAGAATTCTTCAGCTCAATAAACAGATCAGGGAGAATCTGAAGCGAAAGTCCCTAGTTTCCATGGTGAGGTCAGTGTCTGAAGACAGTAATTCAAGCCTTATTCCTTGTGCCTCTTAAATGCTGTGTGGAATCGGGATATTTCCCTCTTTTTAAAAGCACTTTGAGGTCCTGAGTAAAAAGTGAGGTTTAAGTGGTGTGTACCAGTATGTTACTCAGTGAAGGCAGAAACCTTTATCCCATGAATGTGCACAGTGCAAGATAGGATGTGTGGTTCTTCTGCTGTGTGTTATTATTTATTAAGAAGACCCTCAGGCAAACTTGGGTAACCACAGAGGGGTTTGAATGGAGAATTTTTATAGAAAGCAGCTATTCTGTAGGATTAGTGGGGTATATGAGGAGAATTAATGCTCTATTATTCTCAATCCTGGTTGTTTTACAACTTTTTTTCATCATGTAACATGTCTTGAGGCAAATAAAAATATGAACTTTTTTGGAAATCATGAAAATTACTGCTGTACAAACAGAAAGCACAAATGCTGTTTTCATATACTGTAAATTAATACAATTGCATTTTTCCAACTAACTGTAAATAAGTTTCTCCACATACCGATGCAACATCTATGTGTGTGTATATAAATTATTAAAAGATGTATGTATATATACTAAAGATTAAAATTTAAATGGTTGGTGCTACTTGAGGATACAAACATGGAGAAAATCGCTTGGGTGGGTGATAAGATCTATCTGCAAAATTCAAGCTGCTTTTTGTTGAACACCATGTAGCTGAGACCACTGTGCACTCTGTTTTGCTCTTGGGCTTGTACAGCTTTTATATGGAAAGGCACACCCTTGTGAAGTCAGCAAAATCCATGTCTAAAGTAAGTCCTGTTGATGTCAAGTACTGACAGAGTTAAATTACGTCTGACCTGGAGATTGCTGTACCTGTATTGAAGGAACACTCCAAGAGGTGAAAAACATCACCTGCTGCTTGTCCATCAGTGGCTCTGTGACTTGACTTATTAGTTGGAGGGGCTGAAGTTCAGCCCTCACTCCAGATAGAGCATAACCTGAAGTTAAAAGGTAGCACAGCTACCTTTGGAAAGAAGGGAAGAGAAAATGAGAGGGAAACTAAAGTAGAATATCTTCAGATCTAGCTTTTAGATGAGGCTTTGGTTATGGAACTCTGGTAGATGTTATGATAAAACACAGCCATACTGGAGCTAGTATAGCTTTATCCTGGGTATTCAAAAAAAATCAAAATATTTAAAAAGTATATAGAGAATATATATGTAAAAGGGTAATTGCTACTTCAGAAACTTGAAATTTTTAGTGTAATTTTATAGCATGTACAATAAGGAACTTAAAATATATTTTAGTATTTAATACAACAGAGCATTTGAAATTAATTGCTATTTATGTGCACAATAGAAAATTCAACACTGCAATTCTGCTTTTCAATGTTAAAATGAAGATGGTATCCCCTGTGAACTCACTCATCAATTTTCTAGATAGAGTAATAGCTTCTTTCTGGTTTAAGCTTGGTGTAAATATGGCTGAGCAGGATCCATCACTGTGATGTGACATCTATGCTTGGTTACTATAAAGAGAATTTACCACACTGGCTTCTTCTGTTAGTTCAAGCATTGCAACATTATCAACAGGGAAGTTTAACTTTTTACACCAGTGATTCTTTTCACTTGCACTTTTTTCCAAGTGGCTATAATTACCTGCTGAGCAAAAAAGAAAAATGTATATTCTGTAAATATTGTAAATGGTATGAGCATATAATGTCTGTTTTAGTTTGACTGTTTCAATCTTTCATTGAAGCAGGTGTTATAAAAAAAATAAAATAAAATTTGGACAGAAATTCTCCTGTCTTTTATTTCCTATAGCATGTACAGTGGGTGTAGTTTTCTTAACAAGAATTTTTTATTCCTCTAGATTTGTGTTCTTAATAGAAAGTCTGCTATTAATTTCCAACCTTTTGCCCCCTCAAGGCTTCAGACCATCCATGTCTATTGCTAAAACTTGTACAATGTGCCTCATGTCCGAAGATATACAAGCTTGTCATCTTTTCCTAAAGGTGTTTACTCCAACAATACTGATATAGACTTGTCAGTATTCACCATTTGTGGTGCTGATGGGATGGCAGCTGGCAGCTACCTCTCCCTGCTTTCCTGTTCCTTCCCTTTTAAGTCTTGGATTTGACTTCACCTCCTGCAGCCTCGAACAAGCCAGGTAAGAAATTAATCTTATTTCTAAATTACACAGACTATAACATCTGTTAAACACTCACCCTCAGCTAATTGTGTGTCTGCTGTTCACCTCCTTGGGTTTTAGAAAACCTGTGGAGAGCACAGAGCTTTCCTGTGGTCTGCATCTACTTCCTCATGGTTTTCTGAGGAAAGGAAGGGGAAAATTAGCAGTGAGTTTTCTCCTGCTAGATAGATAATATAGATACTCTGTGCAAGTAACAGACAGGGACTGTTACTTGCAGAGAATCCTTTTGTCCAGCTACTACTACTACCTGCAGTAGTAGTAGCTGCTACTACTACTATTACTACTACTGAAGTGACTGGGCCAGTTGTCCCCAGCTCAACAGGAACTTGAGTTTTGAGCTAGTTCCACTCAGAGTTTTCAGAGCAAGAGGCTGGATTTTCACTTCTGCTGCTGGGACCCCGCTCTTTGATTGCAGGAAGTTAAATACTTGTGCTATCTGGCAGATATCATGCACACCTCTAAAGAAAACATACTGAGAGCTCTAATTGCCCAATAGTGGCTTATATTACCTACCTAGCTGGGCTTATCATTGGGGGTTGTATGTACTTGAAGGGTGTAGCTCTGCATACTTTGACCTTATTTCTAATGTGACAATCTATGATACAAGCATAGGCTATTCTGGGACAGGGAGAAAAGCAAGCTCTTCCAGACTCCATGCTGTATCATGTACAGCTTCACAAAAAAAGTTTCTGACTACAAATTCAGATGGAAGCAAACCTACAAGAACATGTCTGTTGGCAAGGCTGGTTCCATGGGCACCAAGGATGAGCCAGCCACATCCCTGAGTCAAGCATTGTTCGGCCATCACGGGGAGGAGCACCCAGGCCAGCTCAGCACCACCACACCCACAAGCACTGGCCAGGCACCATCTGCTCCTTCCTGGAAAGTGCCCTCAGTGCCAGGAGTGCAGGCAGAAGCTTGTCTGATGTCCACACAGCCCTCTGGAGACAGATCTCCTCTCCTGTCCCTGGCAGGATGGCAACAACAGTCCCTGTTCAGGAGGGCGCTCAGGGCTGTGTGCAGGGCATTCCTTGGCACCCACTGACCACGGGAGCAGGAGCAGCAGTGCCCTGCTCCCAGCACCAGGCAGGTGCCTGGAGATGGCTGCTCTGAGCCTCAGCAGCGTCCTCTGACAGAGTAACACAGGGAAGCACAGCAGGGATGAATGCAGGGACAGTGCCTCAGGCATCTGGCTGTCCTGAGGCCATTCTGCTGCCAGACTGTTCTTGGCCATGTCTTCATAACACCAGCCCATGACTACCCTTCTGACACTCTATAATTAGATCTGGTTCATCGTTTTACCACACACATTTTGCAAATAGAGTGTGTTTTATATCTATTTGAATATAATATGTTATACATTTTCTAATAAAACTGTCAGTTTAGCCCAATTAACTGAGTTGTGTGTATTAAAAAAAATTGATCCAAAACTAAAAATATTGTTTTTATATGGTTTCTTATATCTTCCATGGAACATCTGCACTGGGAATGGAATCAGGCTCAGCTGCCAGGGCTTTGTGATGAGGGGCTGCATGGTGCCCAGAGACCACTGTGACACTGCAGGACCCTGCCTTGGCCGTGGGGCTTTGGAGGAGCACTGAGCCCTGGGGTGCCCACTCTCAGGAGAGCACTTCCCTGCATCTCCCCTGGAGCCCCTGGCAGCTTTGCAGCAGAGGCTGTCAAAGACAGACGCAGAGAACCATTTCAAGAACGCCAGCACCCATATGCACAAGAAGCTGCCAGGCCTGGACTGGATGCGCCAGGTGGGGGACGGGGCAGGAGGGACAGGCTGGGGATGGGATGGGGCTGCATGGAGCTGCCTGGGGACTGGCCCTAATGGCACTGTGAGGGATGCTGTGCCAATGCAGCTGCCTCCATCCCACTCCTCTTCCTTCCTGGAGGTGGGACAAAGGCAGTCAGAGGCAGCATCTCAGGAGAGCAAGGCCCAGACTCCACCCATCCATGGGGACAGGCCGTCACTGCTTCCACGGAGCTCTCGGGATGGTGAGAACCACCCAAGCACCCTGACAAGCAAGAAGAGCCCTCCTCAGTGGCTGCAGTGGAACAGCCGGGCCCGTCCCAAGCGCAGGGCTCCACGGAGAAATGCCACCCTGCCATGGCAGCAGGAGACACTGGAAGAGAACTCTCGCAGCAGGAGGAACAGCTTCCAACCCTAACACGGATGCAGGTCGTGATGTGTCGATGACAGCCTGGCCATCCCGCTGCCAGACTACTCTTGCCCATGGCTTTGTGAGACCAGCCTATGATTCCCCTTCAGACATGCTATGATTAGATCTGTTTCATATTTTTATGACAAATACTTCACAAATAAAATTCATTGTACATATCTATACAATAAGTATTAGGTTTTCCTTTGGAATAGGAACCTAAACTGTCAATTTACCCAGTTTATCTGAGTTGTGTGCATACAAAAAAATTGGTTCAAGCCCAAAAAGCTGAGAAAAAGTAGTTTTAAATTTCATAGGGTATTTTTATTACCTCTAAAGCAGGTGACAACTTCTTCAGGTATCAGAACTATCTGTCTTATAGTTCTTATATCTGCTTAAGGTATAAGAACTAAGGGATAAAGTGCTTTTGTATAATTTCTTCTGTCTGCCGTGGAATATGTGCGCTGGGATTGGGATCTAGGCTCAGCTGCCAGGGCTTTGTGATGAGGGGCTGCATGGTGCCCAGAGACCACTGTGACACTGCAGGACCCTGCCTTGGCCGTGGGGCTTTGGAGGAGTGCCTTGGCCGTGGGGCTTTGGAGGAGCACTGAGCCCTGGGGTGCCCACTCTCAGGAGAGCACTTCCCTGCATCTCCCCTGGAGCCCCTGGCAGCTTTGCAGCAGAGGCTGTCAAAGACAGACATGGAGAAGCATTTGAAGAAAGCCAGCACCCATATGCACAAGAAGCTTCCAGGCCTGGACTGGATGCGCCAGGTGAGAGACGGGCTGGTGATGGGGCCCCATGGAGCTGCCTGGGGGCTGGGGCTGGGTTTGCTGGCACTGTGAGGGATGCTGTGCCAAGGCAGCTGCCTCCATCCCACTCTTCCTCCTCCTGATCTTGTTTCCCAAGGGTGTGTCACAGGCAGCCAGAGGCAGCACCTCTGGAGAGCCAGGCCCAGGCCTCCTCCCTCCATGGGACAGGCTCAGACCGCTCCTCCGCCCACAGAGCTCACAGGATGGTGAGAGCCCCCCAGCCATCACATCAAGCAAGTGGAAGCCTCTGCAAGGGCTGGAGAAAACTGGCCAGGCCCATCACAGGTGCAGGGCTCTGCAGAGGAATGACATCCTGCCATGGCAGCAGGACAGCCTGGAGGGAAAAGCTCCTAAAGCAGGAAGGCAAGGAGCAGCTTGTCTCCCTGACGTGATCTTGGTGGCTCCGTGGCAGACCTGGGCAGGTGACTGCCAAGGACAGGATGGGACAGGATGGGATGGCACCAGATGGGACAGAGGGATGAGCCTCCCTCTGACCAGGGCCAGCTGTAGCACTGCACCACTGCAGCCCCATCATCTACCACAGCCCTGTCCCAGCAGCTGCTACTGCCAGGTCTTCAGCAGGCATTTCCTGGAGGGAGCCAGGTGACCTTTACAAATAACAGAATCACTGAATCACATAGAATCACATATATTAGGATTGTAAGGGATCTCAGTAGATCATCCAGTCCAACACCCTGCCAAGGGAGGGTCACCTTGAGCAGGTTACACACATAAAAGTTCAGGTGGCTTTGGAATGTGTCCAGAGGGAGAAACTCCAAAACCTCCCTGGGCAGCCTATTCCAGGGCTCTGCCACCTCACTGTAAAGAAGTTCTTCCTCAAGCTGAGGAAGAACTCCTCAAGAAATGCCCCTCTCTCCTTCCTCACCTACCAGGGGAATGCATTTCTCAAACGTGGGCAGCCATTGCCAAAAGGCTTGGAGGGATTGGAGGCCATTTCAAGCATGCAGAAGGTGCTACACTGGCTTGAAGTCCATGTTCCCAGTAATCCAGAGCCTCTGGCTGAGGAGGACGAGGACTGCGGAAACAAGATTGACAAGGAGCAGTCCCATGAGATATTGGAAGAGGACATCCCATGTCCGGTGCCCTCAGAGAAGTGGGAAGACAGCAGCCAAAGCCAGGAGTCCCAAGCCATGTTAGAAGAGTACAGTGACCAAGAGCTGTTTCAAGGGGAAGAGGATGAGAGCAGAGCAGCAACAGGAGAGGCTTTCAGCAAACTGCAGAGCACATCTCCTGCCCTGACTGGTCCCATGGACACCAAGGATGAGCCAGCCATGTCCCCAGGTCCAGCACCACAGCAGCGAGGGAAGGCTGGCAGCATCACACCCACAAGCACTGGCCAGGCACCATCTGCTCCTTCCTGGAAAGTGCCCTCAGTGCCAGGAGTGCAGGCAGAAGCTTGTCTGATGTCCACACAGCCCTCTGGAGACAGATCTCCTTCCCTCACAGCCACTCATGCCCCAGAGCAACTGCAGCGACAGTCCCTGTTCAGGAGGGCACTCAGGGCTGTGTGCAGGGCATTCCTTGGCACCCACCGACCACGGGAGCAGGAGCAGCAGTGCCCTGCTCCCAGCACCTGGCAGGTGCCTGGAGATGGCTGCTCTGAGCCTCAGCAGTGTCCTCTGACAGAGTGACACAGGGAAGCACAGCAGGGATGAATGCAGGGACAGTGCCTCAGGCATCTGGCTGTCCTGAGGCCATTCTGCTGCCAGACTGTTCTTGGCCATGTCTTCATAACACCAGCCCATGACTACCCTTCCAACGTTATCAATAGATCTAGCTCATTTTTACCACACACATTTTGCAAATAGACTGTGTTTTATATGTATTTGTATATAATAGGTTACAATTTTTCTTCAATAAAGTTTAGCCCAATTAACTGACTCGTGTGCGTACAAAAAACTGCATTAACACAAAAAGCTGAAAAAAGTTTTGAATTTCAGAGGGTATTTTTATTACCTCTAAGAAGCTGATAGCTCCTGCAGGGATCAGAATTATCTGTCTTCTATTTGTTCTTGTATTTGCTTAAGAAAGACCTACAGCAGGAGGGCAAGGAACAGCTCTTGCCTCCCTGACATGGTCCTGGTGGCTCCATGGCAGATGCAGGCAGATGAGTGCTGGGGATGGGATGGGATGGGGTGGGATGGGATG